AAAAAAAAAAAAAAAAAAAAAAAAATTAATATCAAGATCAAAAAGATAAAGTAAAAGGCAAGATACAGCATGAATCTTAAATGGTCTTATTAATAAAATCAAACCTGAAGCCAGGTATTGGGGTGAACACTGAAAGATCAGAGAAGCAGAACAAGCCACAATTTCCTTACCTTGCCAATTCCTCAGCTGATCCTGTTTCCTCAGACTGGAAGCTTCTGTGTCCTCATCCAAATGGATCTCAGCTGAACTGATGCTAAAAGCTGAAAAGCTTAACCAGCCAAAAGCTTCTAGTTTCTGGTCCTCACGCCTTATATATCTTTCTGCTTCCTGCCATCACTTCCTGGGATTAAAGGCGTGTGTCACCAAGCCTGGCTGTTTCCAGTGTGGCTTTGAACTCACAGAGATCCGGGTGGATCTCTAACTCCCAAGTGATGGGATTAAAGGTGTGTGTGTGTGTGTGTGTGTGTGTGTGTGTGTGTGTGTGTGTGTGTGTGTAGGTGTGCGCGCACACGCGCGTGCCACCATTTTCTGGCCTCTATGTCTGTCTAGTGGCTGTTCTGTTCTCTGACCCCAGATAAGTTTATTGGGGTGCACAATATTTTGGGGAACATACTATCACCACATTCAAAATGCTATTTTTCAAAATAATCCTGCAGTTTGCTCTCTTCACCATACCCATACTTGGGAAAACTGAATTTAGTGATTTCTTAGGTCTCATGAAATTGAAAATACAAGGTGAAAGAAGTATAGTTAGCTTAAGTATAGCTACTCTAAGATGATTTGGTCTAACTCACTGTTATCAAGAAGACCAGAGTTTCAACATGAAAAGAGAAAAATAAAATATTGAATATGGAAATTAAAACCTCACATAAGCCCTAAGGTGCAGGAGCGTCCAGCAGAGTAACACTGCACTATTTCAGCAATCTCCCTTGGGTGCCTCACAAACACAAGATGAACCTGCAGTCACATGGCTAACAGCACACTGTAAAGAGCTGGTACCTGCTTCTCAAACCTTCACTTACTGAGCAAATCTGTCACTGCTGAACACAGCAGCCTGTGCTCAAAAATGCAATGAACATATGGCTAATCTTTACTAAGGAAAGGCCATGTTCCACTTGGAAAGGAGAACCCAGGTAGACTGTGGGTTGGAAAAGCTGATATGTGACCAGAATAGCCTATCACTGACCAGCTTGACAAGTACAATAACCCTAAACCTCCTGACCCTCATTTCTGCCTCTGCAAAGGAGACTCCATTACCTATTGGCATTCTTCAGCCAACTAAGGGGTGAGCCCCAAAGAGGATGTCTAAATTCTTATCCCTGGGCCTTAGGTGACTCAGTTGGTGCAGTGATAGCATGCCTGAAGCCCTGGGTTTCATCCCCCAGCACTGCATAAAAAAATGTGATGATATATACCTGCTTTGTCCCAGCACAAAGGAAAGAGGTAAGGGCAGGAGGATCAGGAGTTCAAGGCCATCCTTGGCTACAGAGTAAGTCTGGGGTCAGCCTGGGTGACATGACACCCTGTCTCAAGAAATTAATTCTACAGATCAATGTTCCTCTGGAATCTGGGTGTCTTCAAGTTCTTGCTTACCCCTCCCCATTGTTACTGTCCTTACTCTTGCATTACAACTCTAAAACCTGTCACTGTAATTGAAAGTTCCATTCTTCTCCACTAAGATTAGACTGTGGGTTCCTAGAAGGCAAGTCCCTTATTCTGTTCAATCTGGAATTCACAGTAGATACAATGACCTGGACTCAGATTAATACAAAGGCTTATGCCGTTAACTTTCAATAAATGTGTAACATCCCTCCTCGATCATCTTAATATATTACTTTAAAATTTGAGAGAAATTCAATTTGTTTGTATGTTTGGAGAAAGGATTTCACTACCTAGCCCAGACTGGCCATGGACTTGTAAACTTCCTGCATAAATGCTGAAGTAAGGACAATTTTTAAAACTTATCAATATAACTAAATATAAATCTTTAATACTAAGACTTTAGGCTGGTGAGACTCGCTGTCATATTGCTGGAGAAAAAGCTCAGTGGTTAAGAGTGCTTGCTGCTTTTTCAGAGGACTTGGGTTCATATCCCAGCATATCAGGTGGCCCACAAATGCGTAAAACTCCAATTCCAAGAATCCAATGCCTCTTATGGACTCTAAGGGCAGTCACATACATGTGCACATACATTCAATATACATACAACAAATACATAAATTTAAAAAATAAATTAAAGGGAAAAAAATCATTTGCCACAAAAAGCCTGGCCACCTGAGTTCAGTCCCCAAAACCCATGATGGAAGAAGAAAACAGACTCCCAAAAGTTGTTCTCTAACTTCTACGCACATGCCATGGCAAGTACGTGCGCGCGCGCACGCGCACACACACACACACACACACACACACACACACACACACACACACACACACCAAGCTAAACAGACAAGAATTCAGAACCACTGGTCATATAAATTTCAGTTAATATAACCATTATAATAAAACACAAAGAATCGTACCTCTTGATGATCTTCCATAACTGTTAAGATAGTGTCGATAGTGTGTAAAATTCCCATAGCCATGACAGTTTTGTCTTCGACTTCTTCATACTCATCACTTTGAAGAACTTTACCAAAAATCTCAGCCTGTAAAAATTACATTAGAATACTCACTAGCTGGTACCATTGCACCATGGCAGAGAGGCAGTGCCACATCCCAAAATGCTAGCATTTCTCAGACACTAATTCTACACTTTGTTAGCTAAATCATCTTTTTTCTTGCAATGACAGATCATGCCACACTTATATAAACATCCTTCTGCATTTATTATAGTCACGACATGAAACACATATTAGCTATTACAGCCATTGACTAACATTTATTTAACTTCTAGTTATCTTTAGACAAAATCAAAATCTAGAAACACTGAAAACAAGTGTTTCTAAAAGGAAAGATGTGATAGGACATTTAGAAGATGAAATCAAAGATCATTCAGAAAATGAGACAAAAACAGACATAGACAAAAAGAGAAGAAAAGGTCCAGGAGCAGGACTTAGTTCAGTCTGGTACTCCACTGGAAGTATAGAAGAGGGGAGAAAATAGGAAAATTTTTATCAAAGAGGCAACAAAAAACATTCTCCTGGACTGGCAAGATGGTTCTGTGGGAAAAGGCACTTGCCACACAAGGTAAGTAACAGGAGTGCAATCCCCAGAATACACACAAAGGTGGAAGGAGAAAACAACTCCACAGGGTTGTCCTCTCACCTCCACATTCTGCATCACACACACACACACACACACACACACACACACACACACACACACTGTTCATATACAATAAAAATAAACTTTAAATTTTCTAAAGAAGGGAAATGAAACTCCATTTCCAAGTGCAAAAGTAAGAGTTCAGAAGGCTCGCGTCGAGAGCGTCATTACGGCTCTGCAGGGTATTACAGGTGAAAGGACTACCCTGATCGGGGCTAATTTAAGGCTCATCAACCCAGCCTCAGGAATATCTTAATGACTAAGGCAAATATGATCATATTAAGATTTTGTTTATAATAAAACTCAACTCCAAATTCTGGAGTTTAATTAATTGGGAGGGGGGGTGCTTTTTTTAAAATATGCATAGGTGTTTTGCTTGCATATATGTCTGTACACCACACACATGGCTGATGCCGTGGAGGCCAGAAGAAGGTATCAGATCCCCTGGAACTGGAATTACAGACAGTTGTGAGCGGCCATGTAGGTGCTGGGAATTAAACCCAGGTCCTCTGGAAGAGCAGACAGTGCTCTTAACCACTGAGCCATTTCTCCCGCCCCATTAAGGATTCTTTACCAAACTAGTATACACTTAGCTCATTCTTACTGTTGCTATATGGCTATTTCTTCTTAAAGGAAGTGGAGGGAAGGGAAGGCTTATAAGACTCAGGGAGCAAATAAAACTTACAAGGTTCACAAAAGGGAATTCAGAAAGTTCTTGAGATTCACAAGGCTCCTCTCCAAGTTATAAAGACAGCAAGTGCTTGGGGAGAGAGTAAGTTGCCTTAAAATGATGCAAGGGCTCCAGGGATGCAGTTCTTAGAGTCACCCATTTACAACAGGCTTTTCAGTGATGTGGCTGCCTTGACTCACTGGTTCACTAAGCTAGACTTGAAGAGAATCATTTCTTCAGTCTGTTATCAGTGACCTATTTATTTGGGGTGAAGAGGCTTGTTACATCTCTCCAGCAGAAGTCATCCAACACTTACCAAGTGCTGGGTTGTGTCAACAGCGATGGAGGCCACCTCTTGACTGTACTCACATATCATCTTCTGGATGACGTTGGTGACATCATCATTCTCCGTCTCTCTGACGATATGTAGCAGCTCCTGCATGATAGGCCTCACATGTGGTTTCATGTGCTCCTTGGCTAAGGCAGTCAGATAAACGAAATCAGCAAGAGTTGGTCACTCACACATTGTAACTCCTAGATAAGGCTCTAGATGTTGTGCTGTGATGAGCAAGTTACAAAGCTGTATTAAGTAACCCTCCTAGAGTCACACACACAGCATCAGGGTGTGGTGTTCTGCCTAAGCAAGAGCTGTCTTACCCCAAAGTACAATAGCTCTGCACCCTCACCCTGAGAAATTCTAATTGTACAAATGTTGTGTCATCAGCCTGACTGTGGATCCCCATGACAGGTGTGAGAACTCCCGTCTACAGATACCATGGTCAGCACTGACGGGGGCTGACCCATCCTGACCATCTCTACCCACCCCACCCCCGAGCAAATCTTTACACCTCATCTAATCTCCCCCATAAAACAGGACTCAAGCTCCATGTTATCATAAAGCTGTACTTGCTTGCAAAGGTTATTTGGATCTTGAACAAACAAACAAAATACCTGTGTCACTACCCACTGGAAATACTACATTCTGAACTGGTAGAACCATAGAGACTCTGGAGTTGAATCTTGGTGCTGTCCAATCTAACTTCTTAAACAGAGACAGAAAATGAAGGCCTGACAGGTTTAGAGCCTTGTCAGCTTTGTTAAGCTTCAGAGAGAAGCTGCTGGATACCTTCCCGGCCCTATATGGCTAGTCAGAGCACCAAAGCTGGTCCATGTGTCTTAAGGCCCAGCTTAACCCAGTACCCAGCAATTGTTAACTGGAAACCACAATTAACAGAGCTCCTAAAACAGGCAGAATAAGTACCTATAAAATCCAGAAGGGGGCAAGGAATCTAAACTCTGGACCCTAGGGCTTAGAAATCTCCATTAAGGAAGGAAGTGAATGAGATTATGTAAGGCCATTTATTTAAAAAAAAAAAAAAAAAAAAAAGACATAATCATCATCACCTTGAGTCTGGTTAGAGATCAGTGACTGCAGAGCAAGGGCAGCTTCGACCTTGACGGGCATCTCCTCGTCTTCAATCAGGCTCTTCTTGGCTAATTCAACCGCATTTCTGAGGTTGAGCTCATTATGAAACTTCAGAGAACTAAATGCGTGCAGCACCCAGCAAGACTGCAATAAAGAAGGGGTAGTGACTGGATGACAGTGCTCTGTGACAGTGTCGGGGGCAGCCACCAATGACACCACTGTGTCGGGGGGCAGCCACCGATGGCAGCCACCGATGACACCACTGTGTCGGGGGGCAGCCACCGATGGCAGCCACCGATGACACCGCTGTGTTGGGGGGCAGCCACCAATGGCAGCCACCGATGACACCGCTGTGTCGGGGGGCAGCCATCGGATGACACCGCTGTGTCGGGGGGCAGCCATCAATGACACCGCTATGTTGGGGGGGGCACACCGATGACACCGCTGTGTTGGGGGCAGGCACCGGATGACACCGCTGTGTCGGGGGGCAGCCACCGATGACACCGCTGTGTCGGGGGCAGGCAC